CTAGTTCTCGAAAAAAGGCAAGATTTTCTGAATCGTGTTCAAAATTTAAGCAGATTGTGCGTATTTGTAGCATGCATTAAGCTCTACATATTGCCGAAGTTTGAGTGCGCTACATCTCAAGAGGGTAAAGTTATGAAAGAAGGTGCAAAAATTAGTCTCCAGCCTAATATATTGCCAGGGTCGGGCGGAGCCATGTTTGCCAGCTAGTATTCAGATTACAAGCCGGGCGGAGCCATGTTTGCCAGCTAGTATTCAGATTTTTCTTTCAACTTTTCTATCATCAACAATTTTGCGTAACAGAGTCGTTGCTGAGCTATGTGCATTTAGACTTATGGCACAGTGTCCATGGATCCTACCTGAAAGCTGTCTCAAAAGATTGTAGCTACAAGTACTATGCAAAGTAGTATGCAAGTAGTATGCAGATTTTGGTGCACTTTTGTTTTTCTCGTGCTCGTTAGCTTCGAGATTACCAAATCAACAAGTAGCAGCTCTTTTCGTTTTAACATTTTTATTTTGACCCGTTGCAGCGCTCTTTCTTCCCTTAAGCGCATCTTCTGCATTCGAAAGCCCTAAACTTCGCAACACCTTCAATGGATACTCTTTCCCCACCTAACTGCGAAAAAAGTGCTAACTCTTGAGATTAAGCTGAAAAATGGGCGTGATTCACAGATTTCTCTGGGGAATTGGAAGAATCTCAGAATCAAGTTACATTCTAGCATTGCGAAACTGGCTCTAAAACTTTGCAACCTCTTCTGCAAAGGACCTCTATCTGCAGCTCATCTCATGCCTCTTGCCACTCTCTCCACGACTGAAATTTTTTTTGCATTTCAAATGAAAATTCAAGAAAAAATTTCTACTTGAGGATTGTAACACCGACTACGAAGTAGTTTGAAATTAATTATATTCGAGTGCACTTTTAGGCGAAGCCCGATGTTGTGATCTCTTATTGTTGAGTTTTGAAGTTTTGAAATGTCGTTCGGATTAGCTAACAAACAAAGACAGAACATTGACATTTCTTCTTTTGTACTTGAGATCCATTTGAGAAGTATTTTTACTCGTTTGAACAAAGCCTGATCTATTATAAGTAAAGATTGTGGAGATGAGATTAGCGACACACCCCTTAATTTGAAATTGATATTACTGATGATGGCAAACTTGCGGCCCAAATGCTCAAGTGTGCGGCTCATCAAATAATAACACTTCTCTTTGTTATCATTCGTGTAAACAGAGAAAAGGGGACTGTTCCGAATCAAACTTGGCTGAGTATGATCTCCAAAGTCTTGCCTACTCAACTAAATTGGTAATCTGTAGAATTTTCTTATACTTAAGGTACAAAAACCCTATATGAGCTTGCCTCTCCAGTTGCACATAGTGAACGCTATTGCATAGAAAGTCTTTAACGCCCTTTTTTCGCGCAAGTTTATAGTTTCCATACAAAGTTTTCTTTTTCAGGTGTAGAGTCGCGCTAACACACTGTTCTCTTGGCGATGTAAACAAGCCAAAAGTCCAATCATTCTAAAAAGTGGTTTTGGATTTCGCCCTTGTGCAAAATCGAATTTGATTAACTAGTTATGTGCCTAAAATAGGATAGTGAGAGGCGCGTAAAAAAAAGCATACACTTCGATATCGTCTTTAATTTGACGACTAGTGCCTGAAAGAAGGCCCTCATGCGCAGGACCTGAAAGTATAAATTTGCATCGACAAATTTTCATGTTAACAGCGAGAGTGCTAATATTGGTTATATCTCGCTTCAGAAAAGAAACCAAACAAGCGAAAAATTTGCTAAGGGATCGCTAACTTTGTATATGGAACCTGTACTTTAGGCTCCGGGCATACCTCCCGCGATTTCACTCGCGACGCGTCTTGGCAATACTCCAGTTGCTTATAACTCGTCGCAAACCAATTTGTGCATACGGAAAATAGCACATTTTATCACTCGCAAAAGTTGAATACATCAAGCATTTGCGGTGTGCGAGTGTTGGGTTTGAAGAGATCTGGCAAATGGCCAAATCGCGTGGCGACTGAAATCGCTAGAGGGATGCCCAGGGCCTTATGGCCATGCTTTGTTTATGAGTTATGCAACGTGCATCATCATGCTCCTTCCATGTTTCTCAAAATTGGATGACACCATTTGACAGTATACCAGCGCGCGCAAAATTCCTACTTTTACGAACTTTTGTGAAGTTTTTTGAAACGCCTATTCCATAATTTTGGCAGTCCCTACTGTAAGCCTACAGAAGTGAAGAGCGACTTGGTTAATGTAATAAGGAGGAGTACCAACATAAGGTGACGGTTGAAGACAAATTCAGGTCTTCAGACGCTGATTCCAAGTCTGCTGTCTTTTTTACTGAATAACTATTTGAAAGAATTTATGAGCATTTAGAAATCCAAATCTGTGAAGCTTTAAGTGGCATAAAACCGGCGAAAAGCTCTACAAAAACACCGTTCTGTAAATCTTTTCGCCGAAAACATCAAAAACGCTTTGGATTTTGCTAGCTTTGTTCCTTCCTTGTAGTGGATTCACTTGGTACGGAATTGATTATCCATATCTGGGTGTTTTTGTACAGCTTTTCGTCAACTTTATGCCACTTAAAGCTTGAGAAACTTAGGCTTTCAAGTTCATTGCTTCTTTAAGAGAATTCCGCAAAAAAGGAAAGCAGGGAATCAGCGTTAGAAGAGGGGCCTAATGATGATATACATCTCATCTTCACCCGCCTACTGAAGTTGTTATCTCTTCCTTGTAAGTCTCTTCTCAGAGCCAAAGTGGACACCCTTTACACCCTAACTCCAGTACACCAATTTTCTCGAAACCCGACCACCTTAAAAACACCAAAAAATTTCGCGAATATAGGACCCCCTACGTGCTGCTACTTGTCTAAACTAATTGAGCGGGAGAGAGAGCATTTCGTGAAGCACACTGGTACGTCCAAGCTACTTGTTTAAAAAAAGAAAAAAAAGGTGTGTCTACTGGTGAAGGGTAGTACTAATTACAATTGCGCCAATAGGATTCATGACCACAGCAAACTTCGTTTGAAATCTCTCTTCTTTCCTGTCATTTGTCAGTAGTTGATGGCGAGGCGTAATGAGGATTTGAAGAAAAATCACTTTTGACCGACTTTGAAGTATTGGTTGCTGCATAAGTTCTGTCCGATTTAAATTTTTTGAGTTCAAAATGTCATAACTTCTTTCAAAATCAACTTTTTTCCAAGATCTTGATTTCATTTTGTTGAGCAATTCCTTGGCTATCAGACACATATTGAAACCTGCAAGAATTCTTGTTAAGGAAGAAAGAAGAACTCAAGAACTTCACAGCGTTTTTCTTCAAACCTGTCTTTTTTGACATGGCAATGCTCACTTATGAGAATTGGTAGGCATCTTGTTTAACGATGGATAGATAGAGAATTTTTCGCAGATTATTTTCTATCATGAAAGAGCCCATAGGGTCTGCGTTGCCGAGAGATTTTTTTGACCGAACAAAAAAGAAGCCTTTTTTGACCTCGCTTCAAAGCATGTGTGCATGCCTATTAACGGATTATGAAAATTTTACAGTTGACGTGAGCGCCGAAAAGAAATTGGTGGATAGTACTCTGCGTTGATACCACTGCTTTAGCATCTTCAATTTTAAAGTCGTCGATTACTCTATTCGCAGAAAGTTATAGCTTGTAAAACATCTATACAGAAAATTGATGTTTGACAATAAATTTCACTATCAAGACGTTTCCTTCAAAAAACTGAACTTATGGGTATGCTAGCCTGTTACACCGTTATTCCGCAACCAACTGAAAAACTTGACCTAAAGGGCGCATTGTGGAGATTTCCTGGCAAGAATATATTTCTAGGGTGAATGCGTACCTCGGCCTCTTGGAGATTTTAGATCAGAAATCTCCTTACGCCAAAAACTTTATTGGAATTTGATATGCTTTAGAAAGCGCAAGAAAAGCACTTTCTAATGATACTAACAGTGCCTCAAAAGAGATAAAATTCTCTTAGAACAGCTGCTTCAAACATAAGGCAAAAAAATTCGGACAGAACTTATGCAGCAACCTAATACTTCTGATTCGCACAGAATAGCTCGTTTACAATTCGACTTTTTATGAATGTGTAAGTTGATATTCTCCATATTATGTTCGCAGCTCCTATAGCTTTTGGATGGTTCGATTTCTCATCGTTACAGTTTATAAGATGGCTCATGGGTGACACTGTGGAATTGCTGCAGTGCCAGTCCATTCAGATAATTGTGGGTAGAGAATCTTTTCAATTCAATCTACCTCTTCGGTATCTTTTATCCTATGTTTTCTTGGGCACATAACGAACACGCTTGACGATATCTAAAGCAAACATTGTTATCAGTGCTCTTCGCGAGCACGTGCTCAGTAGCCAAACAGCTCTGACCTTCGCCAGTCCTACTTCTTCTTTTTCATCAATGTTTTGTTCTATCCAGCGATATTCCTTGAGGGCAAAGGAAGTGGCTACAATGTTCTATTATAATTCCATAAAGAATGCGTTGATTTGACATAAAATGGCTTTTAACTTCAACAAGGAAGAGAATTCACCGCATCAAAGCTGTGCGCTTTGCGTAAGCCAAAGCTTTAGTGTTGTTCCAAAGCTCTTAGTGTTTAGAAGTAATTACGTAGCGACAAGCTCTAATCTGTAGCATGTTTTCGTTCATGAAGTTCCTCTCGCAAGGCCGTCTTCCGTAGAATGTCCGTTATTTCCCTATTCTTTTCTCAAGAATTTTAAAGAGAGGTTGAGCTGAAGAATTTTACGTCGAAGGTTCATTACATGCTTTCAATACACTGTGGTCAACTTAGATGCCATTTGTTATATCAATAATTTCCAACAGTCGTGGAAGATTGAGCTGAATAGAAATGCAAGGATGAATAATGAAGTTAGAAAGATTGCCTTTTGTATATGACAAAACCTAAAACGATGAGTAACATCAAAAAGGCGTGCAGACGCAGCAGTTGAACATGATTGTTAATTCCGACGCAAAGATTTTTAAAAGATATTTGCTCTCTTCTTTATTATCACTCATTCCTAAAAACTGTTCATTTCTTGCAAACAGAGCTATTCCCTTTTTCTCAGCTCCCAGATCTATGCAGATGTGAGTAGCGTATTCGCTATTATTGAATGATTATAATCATCTCATTCAGGACAATGATGCTCCTCTTATTTGCGGTCATTACACTTGCTGCTGCTCGTGAATTTCTAGCTTCGAACCGTGTTCCCAAATGGAAGACAGACGATCCGAACTATGGTCCAGATTATGGGCAACCAGAACAAGTCCATTTGTCGTTGGGAGGTACAGTTTTTTATACGATATACGTGACCAAAGAGGACCATAACCTTTGCTCTATGTAAAACTTCTATAACAAAAGCTTTCCGGTTAGCTTCCGGAGAAGGCGAATTTTAGCACAAAGATCTTTGATTCGATAGGTAAGACAAGAAATTTATGCAGAGAATCCCAATGAGATGGTTGTGACTTGGTTGACCTTCGATGATATTGGCAAATCACTGGTTGAGTATGGTACTTCGGCGAACAAGAAGCTCACGGAGGTATTTTACTTCACATGGTACAAAAGCGCATAATTTACATAGCGGGCGTCAATTTCTCAAATAATGTTGTCTCCAAGTGATCCAATAAAAGCAGCTCTCGATGAAGTCCATATCTACTATCAATAAATATCCAAAGCACAGGTCTTTGGTCAATTTTGACTGAACACTGAATTTGTGATTCCAGGTCATCGAAGGACAATGTACCGAATTTGTGGACAAACAGAAACAAATCACGAAGCGTTACATCCACCGAGCAAAGATGTCCAATCTTACCTCAGGAACCACCTACAGTAAGTCATAGCCAAACTATTTATACCCCAGGTGAAGGCTACTAAAATGATAATAAGCAGAAAAATTTGCAAACAGCTATATAAACGACACACTGTTATCAAAGGTGCTAGAAGGGCTATCAGTTCCTATTATATCTGTTCTGCTAAACAAAAACAAGCAGTTTCTGCTAGAGCAGAATCTAAAATTTTTGATCAGTCCGCGGAGTGTTAAGGTAGAAAAATCTAAAATCAAAATTTGCGATACTGACGTTTCAAAGCAAAGCTCATATGGCGCTTTTGCTTGTACGATAGTTCGAAATTGTCTCAACACATATAATAAAGTGCAAAAGGAAGAGACCCATACTGCGTCTTCCTAGATATATAACTTCCAGTCACTGGTGGTATCAACCGACACAATCTTTTTATAATTTATGCAAGAAATATTCTTAGTCAACTTTTCCTATGTTTCTACAATACCGCTCACATTTTTTGAAAAATAGATGCGAATGTATGGACATGTATGGACATGTCGCTACATGTATGGACATGTCCATACATGCCCATACATGTCGCTACATGTATGGACATCACGGTCGCGTGGCCATATCTCGCTACAGATTGGAAGAATTCTGAATCCAAATCAACCATTCGATCCAGCTCGGCGTGGAGAATCTTCTGATATACTGGAAGTGGATACGATGTCTGATGGATACGATCTTCGATATTCCGTTTCCAGTTTTTTTCAAATTGTTCTGCGGAGGTCCTTTTGCGAATATGTGAAGCAACGCCTACCCAACATGGAAGACTTTACTAAGTACTATTCGATAATACTGTTCTTGTAGATTATTGCGCGCTAAAAAATAGGCTCAGACTTCTTTCTAAGGGACATAGAAGCGTTGGTGAATTTTGGAAAAATCACGCGTTTTCAAATTCTACTCGTCATAACTTTCTTCGGCATAAGTAGATTTTGAATCCGAAAGCAGCGCCTTGCTCAGCTCATCAAGGCGAATCTTCTTATATACAGCATGTCCTTAATATTTCGATTTCAGTATTCTTGAATCTTTCTGAGGACGTCTTTTCGCGAAGGTCTAAAGCAGCGAGCTTTGTCCCGAGTACACTCCAGCAAGAATTATTCGATAGTACTTTTTCTATAGATTATGATGTGCTAAATAGTAGCCGCAGATTTCTTTTCAAAGGAAATCGGCTGGTGAATTGTGGAAAAATCTTGTCGTCCCAAATTCTACTCGCCATAGCCCCAGGATACGAAGCTATCTTGCTAAGCAGATGTGAGTTTCGAAAACAGCAGGTCGCATAACCTCTACGAGCAAGTTTTCCGATATGTTCGGGTTATTTCATTTTTTCTCGTTTTACGCTCCAGAAGCTCGCCGGTGGATTTTGGTCAAAATGTTGATGCTCTCGAATTGTAGGGAGACTTATAGAGGTTTTCGAACACGCTTTTTACGAAAATCGTGGTTTTTGAGGATTACAGGGTCTTTTTGGAGAGATACGGTGATGTGACTGTAAATGCATCACGAAAGTGCGTAGATTTGCCCGCATTTCTCGCGTATCTGTCAGAAACCTAGCGATATTCGCCGAGTTACGAGCCTACGAAAACACGTCCTCGTGAATTTTGCCCAAAATGTAAAGATCGCATATTTCGTAAAAATTTCTCCGTGAGCGCTTGTACAACACGCTGATCAAATCCTTCCACATTTTTAATGGATCTTATTGTGTTAGATTTGGTGCTTTGAGGTCTAGCCACGAAATAGCTTTGATATACAATTGAGCACCATATTTAATACAGTGGGAGTCGTTGGACGAAGCGAACATAATATCTGCAAAGAGCGTCGACAAGCGCTCACGGAGGAATTTCGACGAGATTTGCGATCTTTACATTTTGGGCAAAATTCATGAGGACGTGTTTTCGTAGGCTCGCAACTCGGCGAATTTCACAGACTGGAGCCTGAGTCATGCACCATTCGATAGCACAATTCCTAGTAACTTTGAATGAGAAAAGCAAGCAGGCAAGGTTTCTGATAGGCGAGAAATGCGGGCAAATTTACGCACTTTCGTGAGCAGTTACAGTCACCTCACCGTATTTCTCCAAAAAGACCCTGTAATCCTCAAAGACCACGATTTTCGTAAAAAGCGTGTTCGAAAACCTCTATAAGCGAGGTTTCCTTACAATTCAAAAGCATCAACATTTTGACCAAAATCCACCGGCGAGCTTCCGGAGCGTAAAACGAGAAAAAATGAAATAACCCGAACATATCGGAAAACTTGCTCGTAGAGGTTATGCGACCTGCTGTTTTCGAAACTCACATCTGCTTAGCAAGATAGCTTCGTATCCTGGGGCTATGGCGAGTAGAATTTGGGACGACAAGATTTTTCCACAATTCACCAGCCGATTTCCTTTGAAAAGAAATCTGCGGCTACTATTTAGTACATCATAATCTATAGAAAAAATACTATCGAATGATTCTTGCTGGAATGTACTCGGGACAAAGCTCGCTGCTTTACACCTTCGCGAAAAGACGTCCTCAGAAAGATTCAGGAATACTGAAATCGAAATATTAAGGACATGCTGTATATAAGAAGATTCGCCTTGATGAGCTAAGCAAGGCGCTGCTTTCGGATTCAAAATCTACTTATTCCGAAGGAAGTTATGGCGAGTAGAATTTGAAAACGCGTGATTTTTTCCAAAATTCACCAACGCTTCTATATCCCTTGAAAAGAAGTCTGAGCCTATTTTTTAGCGCGCAATAATCTTACAAGAACAGTATTATCGAATAGTACTTAGTAAAGTCTTCCATGTTGGGTAGGCGTTGCTTCACATATTCGCAAAAGGACCTCCGCAGAACAATTTGAAAAAAACTGGAAACGGAATATCGAAGACATCGTATCCCCACTTCCAATATGGCTTTGGATTCAGAATTCGTCCATTCTGAAGCGAGATATGGCCACGCGACGGTGATCTCCATACATGTAGCGACATGTCCATACATGTAGCGACATGTCCATACATGTCCATACATTTCCATACATGTCCATACATTCGCGTCTATTTTTCAAAAAAATGTGAGCGGTATTGTATATTATCATTTAGGGTATTTGACCACCAGATTATCATTTAGGGTATCGCGTTGGCAGTGAATACGGATGGAGTTCGCTCTACCAGTTTACGGCATTGTCTCCCAGAGAAGATGGTGGTTACGAAATAGCGGTGTTTGGCGATTTGGGAAATCAGAATGCTCGCTCACTTGGCAAGCTGCAGCGACTGGCACAGGATGGAGACATCGATATGGTATTCCACATAGGTAAGTTGATAACCAGGCTAATTGCTGATCCCAAGAATTTGAGTTTGCCCTCTCACTCGTAGCTCGTTAACTGCTTGATATATCCCGAATTTTCTAAGAATTTTCTCTAACCAGCTATGCATCTTTTTTCCAGAAGCAAATGTATTTTGCTCACATGACATGAGATAAGAGATTCTTGATTTTCAGGAAAAAAACAAAAATTACGAATTTCATGGAAAATTGTGGGTTGTAATCCTGCAGATGATGTTTTAGGCGACTTTGCATACAATTTGGATACCGACGAGGGCCAAGTTGGAGATGAGTTCATGCGCCAACTCGAACCCATAGCTGCTTATGTACCTTACATGGTGGCGGTTGGCAACCATGAGGTATAGTTAGTAATTTTATGTTGATGTTGTAGAAAAATTAAGTATACTTTTGCGTGACTATGGGAGCACTGCATATTATTTTCCTTATCAGTTTGTAAAAGCTATGATATCTTGCCTGCAATTTTAAGTTGTTAGATATAATTGTTTAGGCTGCGAACAACTTCTCACACTATGCAAATCGTTTCACAATGCCTCGAACAGAAGACAACATGATGTATAGGTAAGCAGAAGTCGTGCAGAATAAATGGACTACCAGTTTACTCTTCTTTTCTGAGAAAGAGATTAGCATAACATTCTAAAACGATAAAAATTCGTATATGTTATTTTGAACCTAAAGTTCCGTCACATCGTATGCTATCGCGCCAGGATGAGCAGCAAAAGTAAGTGAAGAATGATAGAGCAATACAAGATGACCCATAAAGATCGGAAAAAAGCCTGACCTACACTAAGTTTGAGGTCAAAATCTAACTTTTGCCTAAACTATCGGAATCTGTCTATAAAAAGCCTACGGACCTCCAACTTGACCACCCATATAAACATCACGGCGAACATTTACATACACAGTTGCTGTATTACTTCCATGCCCAGACTCAAAAACGAAAACAGACGAAAGATACTGAAGTACCCGGCTATCAATTTTTATGCTAACCCTGATATTCACAAACAACAGCTTTTGGGGAAAGCAACTGCTTATAATAGCACGAAACTGCTTTGAGAAGGACATAGTATTGCGTTTTCTTGTGTTGCAACCAAAGACTAGAAATTGCAATCGAAGTTCACTCATAATATTTGTTTTATAGTCTAGAACTCATCTGCATTCTGCTCCAAGCAAAACTGCGAATCTAATATCGTGCATAACTTTTACTTCTTGTCTTTTCATCTTTGCTTGACGACACTTTGACAGTAAGAAATATTTAGCTTCGACCTTGGAAGCGCTCACTTCATATTCTTCTCCTCCGAATTCTACTTTTACACTAACTATGGATGGAAGCAAATACAGAATCAATGGAACTGGTTGGTCAACGACCTTACGGTCAGTTTTTAACTTTGAATTCCAGTCATCTATGTAATTCAACCTTAAATGCAAGGAAACTCATAGTAAGTTTCAATTTACCGTTAGACTACTGAGTTATAGCACCAAATATGTTAGACATTCTGAAATTTTCAGAAAGCCAATGAAAACCGACACAACGTTCCATGGATCTTCACATTCGCGCATCGACCGATGTACTGCTCCGATCTTGATGGCGATGACTGCACGAAGTACGAGTCCATTGTGAGTTTACTCGCACTATTATTACCTTACGGGCTAAGCCAGCTCCTCGCACTCTTTTTCTTCGCTTTGCTATTTCTGGGTATGATTTAATGTGACAAAAATGCCGAGTTGCTACTTTACAATTGTGGTAGAAGTTTTTTCGTATCATCAAATTCATTTTTATCATTTAAAGGTTTTTGTATAATTATTGTTGGAAGGACAGTTAGACAATCTCTCTGTTGTTGAGTACACAACTTAAAATTCCTGGCAAGTACCATTCTGAATCTTCTGAAGAGAGAAGCTGCTTAAGCAAGTCAAAAATAAAAATTAGTTGGTCATGAAATTAGTTAATGATCTCAATACACAAATTTTTTTCTGTCAAACTAACACTAATCACTTTTGAAAGCCTATTGATGCCTTGTTTTCTATGTTCTGAAATTTTATTATTCCACCTTCTGTGCGCTTAGATTCGCACTGGCCTTCCAAGAACACACGCCTATGGGCTGGAAAAACTGTTCTACGAATATGGTGTTGATGTAGAGATATGGGCTCATGAACATACTTACGAGAGATTGTGGCCAGTCTACAACAGGACGGTATGAGATTTGGCAAAGTGAACTTGCCAGAAGATTTGATTTTAGGTGTACAATGGAACCTCGATGCCTTACAAAAATCCTTTGGCACCGGTGCACATCATTTCGGGATCAGCCGTGAGTTTATAGCAGCAATTAGGTTTTTCCCTATTATTCGAAATGGAAAATGAGGGAGCTTTGAGTGAAAAGGACGCTGCTGCTCATGATTAAATCGCTCCTCAAAGGCAGTTAAGCTTTTGGCAGCATATAACAGTAGGGCCTCCTATCAAGCCAATGCCCAAGTCGCGGCGCAATGTGACGCTTCGGAAGCGAGAAAATCGCTTCGGAGTAGCGAAGATGCACGAGGACCCCCATCCATGCCACCCTCCTCCATCCATGCCCGCCCCTCCCCATCCATGCCCGCTCCTTCGCATCCATGCCCGCCCATTTGTGCGCACTCATCTAATCACCGTTTTGGAAAGCCGGCCTGTGGGTTCTCCGGAATGAGGATTGTCAGGGTTTTCGCGGATTCTCGACTTCATATTCGGATTCAGGGACATGAGAAGGCCCTGAAACGACAAAAGCCTAAAAGTCGAGAATCTGGGTGGACGCTGCCTTCACGCCTTGAAAAAGATTTCTGAGAATTGTGATTTCTTCTAGTTTCAACGAATTCGTGTATTTCAGTATAGCTTAGGAAGGAAAAATGCACTTTCCAAGTGTACTTTGAGCTAAAAGCTTTCGGCACATGGAGCGATCTGTAAACAACCAAATCGTGCTTTCTTATCAAACCTAAACTCTAAAAGTGATAAAAGGCCAACAATATATTATTGCTTGACTGTGGTTTACGACTTATTCTTTTCACTGAGTGGAACTCTGCTGCTCTATCAGGTGGTTAAGAAAATAATGTCGTTTTTATTTGCTTGAAATGGCATTGCGAGCAGGTCCAGTAAAATGACTGGGGTTGCTGATAGAGCAAAGCAAGCTCTACAAGATGGTGTCCATGTTTCCCCTCTAAGTTTGTTTTACGGGGAGTTCAAAACCAAAATATAAAAATTACCGAGTTTTCAGAAATGGAAAAAATCAGATCTCCGTCCAAAAAATTTCTACAAACCTCCCATTCGCATACATGATTTCGAAATCGATTCATATATACATCTGTTATATTTTTTCTATGACTAGAAACTGAGAAAACGAAAATTTTTTCGCTTTACCCAAAGCAATGCTGGTCCATTCTTATGTAAGTAATTCTATACTGTTATAATACAAGCCACTGTAAGTATAACTGTAAAGCTTCAATATTCCGAGCGCTAGTGAAGTATCGATTGCAGTACAAAAATTCAAGAGGAAAAGGAGCTGGAGCAAGGATCAGCCGAAGCCGTGACCCGGGCTAGACCGGGAAAATTAGCTAGTACAATATAAAACAATGTCTATCTGAATGTCTGACGTTCAAAGTATGGTGAGAATGAGAGATTTGTATAAATTTTTGGAGGGAGATCTAATTTTTTCGTTTTTATCGGCTTTTGAACTTTCTTTATTTTGGCTTCAGACTTATCGTAAAACAAACTTGGAATGGAAACATGGATGCACCTTGTAGAGCTTCCTTTGCATATCATACAGTAGCCTTCAGCATTTTTGGACTGTGCCTGCTTGCGATGCTATGGCAAACAAATAAGGAGCGACATTGTTTTCTTGACAGCCTATATATTTGTTTTCTTGACAGCCTATATATTTTGCATCAGAAAGTAAATGAAAGGAAAGTTTTCAATCATCTCTTTGTTTGTATGTCTCTGAGATGTACAGTAACGAGTACAATTCTTATATGTCAAGCTAGTCATCAAATTTGTTCCGACTATCTCACACATTTGAAAAGAAATTTTTTTCATATTTTTAGTGCGGGACTTACGAATCAACCTAATTTATATAAACTTGAATAGAAGTAACAGCTGGCCCAGTATTGCGGTCTCAAGAAGAGGGCCAATCAGCATCCTCAATTACGGTTTTGGGCAGAAGTTTCCAGTCAAATCTCTTTTGTCTATGCCCATGTCAGGTTTCACCAAGAAGTAATCCTTGGCTGGGCTTCCCGTAAAGCTGTAGGCTACTCGAGGGTGGTAAATTGGGACGCTGCATTTGAATGAAGCTTCTGGAAGAAAAAGCTTCAGACTTTGCTTGAGGCGTAGTTTGCTAAAACGCATGGACATAAAACAATGATCTTTGTTGCAAAATGTATTTAACTTTAGTAAGCGCATGCAAAATTTCTTTTTGCATTGGAAAGAAGACGCTTTCAAATCGCTGTTATCGTTTAGTATAAAAAAACACCTCTTGAGATTGGTTATACGTGCTTCGTGGATAAATCTGATGCAGAGTGTCTCTCTCGTAAAAAGATTCCCCTCAAACTTCTTTTGAATATAGAAACAGAAGCGTCTTTTGAATACACGAAAAACACAAGCATCGCCACCACCATTCATGCTTATTTCATTGTCAGGTGAGTTTTATTTCAGTGAATGTTAATGAATGACTTAAGGGCTGCCGTGAGAATACCGACATGTTCCGTTCGGATCCGGAACCTTGGAGCGCTTTGCGATCTAGCGATTATGGTTTTGGCATCCTTAGAGTTCATAACGACACGCATGTTCATTTCCGTCAAGTTGCAGCCGCTAAGGTCAGTGAGATGATTTGTTTTTTCTTTTTTTGCTAAAATTTTCTGATTGTAGGATGAGATTGTGGATGAGATTTGGATAGAAAAGCATCCACACCATTCGTATCATCATGAACATCGCAGGTACGCGTAATTGCCAGACGGGGTATGTCACTGCCTGATACTGGGGCCACACTTAGGGAGTCGCATTGAGGGGTTAGATTGGAAAGGGGGCTGTGATTGTGGTGATTAGCGATATTAAGATTAGTCAACAATGTCAGCTGAGCACATTAGGCAAGATAGGAGCACACTGAGATATTCACTTATTATCGTATGCGTATCGGCAGGATAAAACCTTACAAAGTATAACGAGTATTATTTCCGCAATTCACGTCAAATAATCCCAGTTTTAGCGATTTTCGTTCTATTATTGGACTATCAAGTGAAGTGATCATTTGCAACATGATCACCTTTGTTTCGAAGGAATTCCAATAAGCTAGGTATTTTTGTACTCAATGCAAAGCACTTCTTCTTTGCTCCCATCAGGAATCCCATTTCGAGTAAGCTGGACTATAGAATTAGGAGCCAGCCAAAATCGTGTTTGTTCCATTTTTCGCTTACAGTGATTGTGCTTCCCTAACTATTAGTTAGATTAAAGAAGACGAGCTGGACTGAAGTCTTCCTTTGAAAACTAAGTGACCAGATTCATCAAATTATATATTAGGTTGTGTAATAAGTTCGTTCGCATTTTTTGTTTCGATTTTTTCTCAATATTTTACAAAGCATTTGGCATAGTGTTAGTATGCGTTCGGAAGCTCTAAGTTTGCTCTACCAAATTACTATCATTATATTCTCAGTTTTTGAAAATTTGGATAAAACATTCCACTACAAACCAAAAAATCTGAAGTGGCAAAAATCCCATTTTCGACATCTTTTTTCTTCCTTAGTTTTCCCGTTATTCTTTGTCGAAATTTATTCAAAAAGCTTGACTACGAAGAAAAAAAACTGACTAACAATTTATGCATTTACTGATACTATTTACGATTGCCCATTTCCTTTCACCGACCGTTTAATGCAATTTTTGCAAAAGTCGGCCTAGCAAGGCTTTGCCGCAGCGGTGTTCGTTGTCTCGCGTCCGTGGGCTATGTGTCCCTCGAATTCTGAATTTTTGACTATATAAGCCATTCATTCGATGATTTAGCTATCATAGACCACATGTCTGCCAATTTCTGGATTATTCGGCTACCACCTTTCTTCAGAGGTGCCTTCAGATGCTTAACGTTGACACCAAAAAGACATAAAGACATACCTATTTTTGAGCTTACAATATAAATTGTTTTTGAAAGGTTTTAGCACTACAGGTAATCTGCGGGAGCTATAGTATTCTATTTATACATGTCGCAAAATTTTTGGGCTGTTTCTTAAGCGCTCAAACCCATTCAAGGTGCGGCATAACATAGTTGTCGAAAATGGGATTTTTGCCAATTCAGATTTTTCGAATTGTAGTCGACTTTTTTATTCAACTTTTTACAAACTGGGAATATAATGATAGTATTTTGGTAGGGTAGACTTAGAGCTTCCGAATGCATACTAACACTATGCCAAATGTCTTGAAAAATACTAAGAAGAAATTGAAACAAAAAATGCGAACGAACTTATTACACAACCTAATATATATATATATATATATATATATATATATATATATATATATATATATATATTTTGCCACCTTCAATTGCCATATATATAGTACCGCAGATCCAACATACTACCGTAACATTATTCGCAATGAACACAAATTAGGAAGAACGACTATATCTTCTTCTGGGAGAGACTATCCCCAAATGAAAAATCTATGGAGAAAAGAAGAAGGTTTGGCGGCCTGAACTATATAAAAATCCTAGATGTATGAGTGCTTTGAAGGTAAGTTAATGGAGTGGCACAACTCCCCAAAAGGCATGGTAGCCATAGCTTTTTTAGAGTTGTGCCACACCCCAATAACTTGCCTTCGAGAAAAAAGAACTTCCACTGAATAACATATCTATTAGATGGGTCCGAAAGTTCTGTCATTTCATTTTCAAAAATATGTAACTTTGCGTATTTCAACGGATTTGCTTGCTTTTGATTTTGTCAGAAAGAAAAAGTCTTTCACTTTCAAATGCTGCTTTGGAGGCCTCGGTTTCGCACTGAATGCAGAGATAAAAATGGAAAAGCCATTTTAAGTTAGGTCACCAAATGGAACGCTGCGAAAAAATCTGAAATCGTTAATACCTATATTTTTTGGCTTACCCTTCGCAACAGTGAAAAGTTTGTGCTGTTTGGACGTCTCTGCAAAAAGTTATGAATATCGAGTTTACTATGGAAAACGCCAAAATTGATTAATTTGTAAATTTTCGCGAAGATCATAACTTCTCACAGAAATGTACAAACAGCACAAACTTTCCACAGTTGCGAAGGATAGGCAAAAAAACATATGTATTGAGATTTCAGATTTTTTCGCAGCGTTCCAGATTTTTGGCGACCTAACTTAAAATGATCAAAGGTTAAATGGTCTTACTTTTCCAATTTTATCTCTGCACTCTCTCTCACTTGTCAGTGCGACCCCGAGGCTATCCAAAACAGCATTTGAAAGTGAAAGGCTTTTTCTTTCTAACAAAATTAAAAGCAAGCAAATCTGTTGAAATAGCGCAAAGTTACAAATTTTTGAAAATGAAACGACAGAACTTTCGGACCCACCTAATATTATTCGGTAACTTAAATCTCGTAGTTTCCACAGGAATGGTTTGAGCCTGTCCCTCTTCAGCTCAAATAGCTACTGAAAGCAGAACCATTGAAACGAAATGCGCTGAGAATTTTGGTTAACTTTCAAATCCACTGTTTGGAGATTATTTGAGGTGTGAATTGTGACGTACCTTATTAAGAACTGATTCTTTGTAATGACTGCAAAATGTAGCCAACTGATCTTTGAAACAAAGATAATCGTGTTTAAAAGTGACGAGTTCTGCCATTAGTGCAGAATTTGGATTAGCAGATTATTTGAAAAGGTTACGAAAATGATACTCAGTGCTTGATAGAGTCTCTTCCTCATGCTTAGTAAATTCAATGGCACAAAGGGGTCTTAATGAGACCAAATAAAAGAGGAAGAGGAGGGGGGGGTCATATCAGTGCCACACCTCTTGCTCGACCCTGGTAATCTCGCATTGCCCACATCTTATTTTCAATTAGGATAAAAATTCTACTTAGTTCAAGATTTTAAGATTGTTCTTAATGTAGCAGTGGTGAACCGAAGGGCCTGAAAGGGAGTCCTCCCCCCAAGAATGGGTCAAAAATTTTCAAAAGACGCATGAGTCATAAAAATGTGCAAGCGATTTGTTTGTACTTGTAAAAAACTGAGTTGTTTTACGAACTTTGCCAAAAATCCGAACTAGATTTGTTATAAAAATTTCGAGAGATGAATTATGCGCCCGCAAAGATTTTGGGAAGCATCTCCGGAAAAATTCCGAATTTAGTCACTCACCTTCAAAAGTTTTTTGTCGCTCCCACCTGCTCTCGAATAGAAATCTGGGACCGCCACTGTAGTGTAGCTATGCTTTTTGCAGTTAGAGACGCAACTTTCCTGACCGTATTTTTTTTTCAGAAGGCCTCACAAAGCGACGCACATACCACTCACCTACTGCGCACCCCGTCACTGCAAAAAGAATGATGGTCAAATCGATTTTTGATCAAAGTTTGCCTGTATGTAATTAGCTGTACATTCTATGCAAGGAATATACATTTTTCTCACTCTTGAGTGACGTTTACGGACTGTGGATTGTTTTTTATTGAAAGGAAGCATGCTGTACTTTTTGCAGAAGCTTTGAATACCGGAAAAGTTAGACGGGAGGGAGACGACGTAGAAACCTGTCGATGGTGTCGAGGCGGGGGTGTGAAAGTACTTTGAAGACCTATTGCATTGCTCTCGAGCTCATCAACAGCATCACGGATATCGGACTTCATGGAGTTTCTGGGTGGGCGTTACCGATTTCACAGCTGTATTTATGCGCTTTCATATGCATCTGAAATTTCTGATTCCGTAAGTAAATAATAGGATCCTTGAAAGCTGTGCATACTGCGCATATGGCCGATTTGGAGATACATGCGTTGTAATCCCTTTTTGGCTCAGCGCGACAGAAATATTGGCTCAATAGCCTTCTTACCCACCAAGACACAAAAAATAATTACAAAACTATTTTTTTAGAATAAAAGGAAATGAGCAACTAAACAAAAAAATGGAGAAAAAGATCTACGAGTGAGGTAGATGGATTAGGAAACCGGAGTGGAGAGAATTCCTCCGATCGCTCAACGTTCCTCTATCTATCTCTGAAAGACGCGATAATATATTGCTTGGCGGGTCTCTCGTGGGGTCGCCACTGATGATGGTCTCCACAATCGCGTATCATCTGGAAGAGTGAAAGTGCTTAGCGACAGTATCTGCGAAGTGACGTTTTAGTTTCCAACTTCCGTATCTGTGGAGAACTTTTCAAATCCATATAGTGCGCGTGAGTATAATCATGGTGAATGCAATTGAATAAACCATGCTACTGTTGCAACTGAGGCTTTCCGTGAAAACCTTCGGATAGAAAGTTATGAGGGGCGTAAAAGAGGAAATTGGACCTTTTCTTTTCAAATGTTCCGTTGAGTCCTAGTCCATTTACATGCAGTGTAATTGGTGAAGTTTATTTCATTTTGGCGGGTATTTGAAAAAATACTGGCAACATAAGTGAAGTTGATGTGTATTGCTATGTGAGCCTTCCACATCTTTCTAAACATCTCTGATTACTTCTTGAGCACGTGTGTTTTCTATGCACGATCCAAGAATTCTTGTTTTGGTAATAGTAATAGCTTCATTGGTGCTTAGGTGATTATGTGCCGTATCAACATGCAAGAGTACGATCTTCTTTAGACTGGGCTTTGATGTATTTTTTTGTTGAAATCATCAATTACAGTGCTATTTTGCTGTCAGTTACCACCGAAATTTTGGCGAGGAAAACAACTCTTTGCAGATTTGTTCACACGGCTTTGCAGAGGCGAACTGCCACCAAAAGTTCTTTAATCGTTTTGGGATAGTTGAACCGTTTTCCACTGACCAATGTGGAAATGGTGCTAGTTATGATGGACATTGAAGGATCTTCGAGAAAGCGAGAGCTACAATACCGGCCACATAATATGCATATTTCCGTGAATGTTACGAAATTCCCAGAATTTGGCGACATTAAGATCTCGTGGATTTCCCGGAATTTCATAGAAAGCCGCGACATTTCCGGAAAAAGAGATGTCAATGAAAGCGGCGACATGTAGTGGATGTAAATCTCGATAAAATTTTTTTGAAATCACCCACATAGGCCGCATTGGTCATCATTTGCGAATGGAGTTTACAAATCTTTTGCAATTATTCACAAGGACAGAACATACATCACACGATTTCATCGCCTTGCGATTTTCCCAGTAAGACAACTATTATGAGTTCATTAGTGTTGATCATCTTGCAACTGGATTGTGATAGTTTCCCCACCCGACTAATTGCGAATAGCTGTCACAAACGAATTGCAAGATGATTGGCATGCAATGTACTCGTAATAATTGTCCTTTTAGAGAATCGCGAGGCGATGAAATCACTTAATGTACGGCCCTATAGACGTAACAAGTTTCTCACTTCCATGCTATCAGTCTAGCCGGCAAGGACGATGCAAACACATTCGAAGGGAATATCTGGGAAAGCTATCTATAATACTTAGCTCGGCCTTTCGCAACAGAATATGTTCTTAATCAGCTTCAAACGCTGATTTCAATAATGCTATTTTCTAGCAGGCGCAATCATTCCAAAGCTAGTAATGGGCTTTCTCCTACGCAATATTGACATACAGTACCCACACTAATTATTCGACAGAAAACGCAAAAACTGACGATCCGCGTTTTTTTCGTTTTTTCTTCATAACTTCCTTCAAATTGCATAAAATACAAATCCGAAGAAAGCATGATGCTCAGCTCGTCATGATGAATCTTCTGATGTATTGCACTCTCGTACTATTCTGTTTTCAATCTGCTCGATTTTTGTGTGAGGACGGGTATTCGTAGTGGTGTAACTCAGCGAAGAACACACATGGACGAATCAAGTAAACATGGGTCAGTAGTGCTGTCCCCGTAGATTATCATGTATTAGTGAGTAGCGAAGGATTCCCTTTCCATGGGGAAAGATAGGCCGTTTAATTTTGAAAAAAACGATGTCTCTCAAATTTCCGTTACCGTAACCCCACAGTAAGACGCTAATTTGCAAAGCAGGTGTGTTTTTCGTGATCAGCAGGTTAGATAACCTCTATGCGCAAGTTTTCCAAGGAATTCAGAACCTTTCATTTTTTCTCGTTCTAAGCTGTGAAGCTCGCCGACCGGTTTTGGCTAAAATGTTGATGATCTTGGATTGACCGGAAACTTCGCCCATAGAGGTTTTCGGACTCGCTGATTACATAAATAGTGCCCTCTATGCAGCATAAGTTCTTTTGGCAGAGTTATGCTGAGAGGAATGCTGCGATACTACGCAAGTTCCTAAGTTTGTCTGCCCTTTGCGCGTGTCTGTTGGACAACTTACCTGCTCCTTTTTGTAATTTGAAATCACTAGAGGCAGTGCTCTTAGAGCATGCTTAAACTAGGCCTTTACCTATATTGGTCGCCGAACTGTGAGCTGACGAACTCACGTCCGCATGAAAATCGTTCGAAATTTCAAGATCGCACATTTTGGCCAAATATCGCCGTGAATGGTTGCAGATGACTCTGATTGCAGATATTATGTTTATATACACATGTTAATTGCTGATTTATGCCGCATACTGCTGCTTACCCCTTGTGCCAACTCTTACACCTGTAACTCAAAGTCTACAAAAAATCGATAAGCCAGTATCGACCGATGACGAAATGTAATCTATCAAACCAGTTCGGCTCCTAAGGCTAGGTTCATACTAATTCCCATGTTCCGAAACTGTTCCCGCACAGTCCCGCAATGTTCCCGCACTGTGCTGGGAACTGTGCGGGAACTGCAACTGTGCTGCATGCGCTGCAGCCGTCCCGCACGCGTTTTGAACGGCGCGAGTTGGAGAATTTTGACCGTTTTCAACGGTTTTCCTTCCAGATTTCTCTCATTTTGGCCTTATTCCTCTACCCCGCTTCTTTTCTTGATCAGCTGAATTTCGAGCTCAAAGCGGGGTTGAAGAATGAGCGCTTTTCTGCTCTGCGTATGCGACAAAATGTGTGTTCTTGCGCTCGTCCGTTTTCTCTTCGCTTTATTTTTACATAGACTCACTCCATTTGTTCCAGGAAGCCCCTGCGTAGTTTCCATAGCCATCTGCTATGCATTGGGGAGTAGGAGCAATTCCGAAATTGCATGAATTGATTGTCTCTGTTTTGATCAGTTTCGTTTTTGGGCACTCTCCGCCCCTTTCCTTTTTCCATATCGTTGTTTCTCCTTTCTTTCTTCTATCCCGCTTCTCCTTGTGATGAGAAAAGCTGTGTTGATGCGGAGTTGAGGATGCAACGCGGTTCTCATCATGTATCCGGGAAGATGAACTTTCTTGCGCTCGTCCTTCTCTGCCATTTTTGTTCAGGCCTACTTCAAGTGTTCTAGAGACCTGTCCATGTCCCTTTCAATACAGATGCGAGACTATGCAGCTCCTTCTAGAACACATGAAGCAGGCCTGGACAAAAATGGAAGAAAATGGACAAGCACAAAAAGAGCAATCTGCCCGGATATGGAATTTAACTCGCTTTAATTTCACACCTTTTCTCATCACAAGGAAAGGGGCTGAGAATGGCCAAAAAGGGAACTCATCAGAAAACAAGAGAAAAGTCCCAATTTATGCAACTTCAGAATTGCTCTTCCTCCCTAATTCACGGCGGAAAGCGCTCATTCTTCAACCCCGCTTTGAGCTCGAAGTTCTGCTGATCAAGAAAAAGAAGCGGGGTAGAGGAATAAGGCCAAAATGAAAGAAATTTGGAAGAAAAACCGTTGAAAACGGTCAAAATTCTCCAACTCGCGCCGTTCAAAACGCGTGCGGGGCGGCTGCAGCGCATGCAGCACAGTTGCAGTTCCCGCACAGTTCCCAGCACAGTGCGGGAACATTGCGGGACTGTGCGGGAACAGTTCCGGAACATGGGAATTAGTATGAACCTAGCCTTAGGAGCCGAACTGGTTTGATAGATTACATTTCGTCATCGGTCGATATCGGCTTATCAATTTTTTGTAGACTTTGAGTTACAGGTGTAAGAGTTGGCACAAGGGGTAAGCAGCAGTATGCGGCATAAATCAGCAATTAACATGTGTATATAAACATAATATCTGCAATCAGAGTCATCTGCAACCATTCACGGCGATATCTGGCCAAAATGTGCGATCTTAAAATTTCGAACGATTTTCATGCGGACGTGAGTTCGTCAGCTCACAATTCGGCGACCAATATAGGTAAAGGCCTAGTTTAAGCATGCTCTAAGAGCACTGCCTCTAGTGATTTCAAATTACAAAAAGGAGCAGGTAAGTTGTCCAACAGACACGCGCAAAGGGCAGACAAACTTAGGAACTTGCGTAGTATCGCAGCATTCCTCTCAGCATAACTCTGCCAAAAGAACTTATGCTGCACAGAGGGCACTATTTATGTAATCAGCGAGTCCGAAAACCTCTATGGGCGAAGTTTCCGGTCAATCCAAGATCATCAACATTTTAGCCAAAACCGGTCGGCGAGCTTCACAGCCTAGAACGAGAAAAAATGAAAGGTTCTGAATTCCTTGGAAAACTTGCGCAT